GGGAAGTTGGATTTTTAAAAGTAGTAGAATGTGCTGCAGCCAACACAGATGGACTTGACAGAGATGTTATCTGTGTGAACTTACCTCCTCAGCATCCCTCATCTCTCTGAAGTGGCAAGGCCACTCCAATGGGTGCTGTACACAGGGAAAATAGATCTTGGGGCGAGCTGAATTCCCAGTGGAATTGTTCATCAGAATATATGGGGATATCCTGAGGCAGATTTAATCACAACAAAATGCTGTGTGTGGGAAAATTTGCTGATCTGAATTATTCTGCATTTTCTCTGCCGGGGCTTCCCCTCCCTCAGATGCTTCCCTGGAATTTTGATCCCACCACGAAGCTCCGTGGGTGTAACTAGGGTGGTATTTCCTCATGCAGATGACACCAGGATGCAACCCCCTACCTAGGTTAGATGAATGTTGCACGAGATGAGGTTTAGTGCCCTTCTTCTGTCAGAGGAAGAGAAGGTCTCGTGCTGCTCCATTTTCTGTGAATTCACAGCAGTGTTTGGCTTCCTGGAAAGTCAACCTACAAATAAACAGTGTGGGCAAATACCTACGGAGGGCAGAGCGTGGTGGGCAGGCACGCTGCAAAGAGTTGGGCTGCTGCTTGGTGACATAAATCATCAAAGGAATGAGGTTGCCTGCTTCAGCTGGGAGGAGATCCTGTCTGCAGCACCTCTTTCTGCTCGCTGTGGCCAGCAATAGCTCCCACCTAACGTGTGTGGAGAGCTTCCACGTTGTGCAAACTGATAATTCAGCCTCGATTCAGCGTCTCCTGCCAGGGAAACCCCCGGGCAGCGCTACTGTTGTGTGTTCAGTGCTGGTCAGAGGGATGCTGACCTGGGTCTGTGTAGGTGCTGGAGCAGGTCAGGCTCTGGGCTGACCCTCCTCAAGCTGCAGCTTAGTGGTTTGATTCTTTAAGGGCATCATCCTGCCACGTGCTGGAGACTGAGCAGAAGGTGGTTGGGAAATGGCAGGGGCAGGGGTGATCCTGGAGAGCTCTTGCTGGTGGCAGGGCTGGGAGAGCAAATGACTCACCTCTGTGTTTCCCAGGTGGTTGAAGACCTGAAATGAATGTGGTGAGGGTGGGGGCAGGCAGGGCAAGGAGGGGCACCCGCAGGTAGAAACTCCATCTCCCCAGGAGCAGGTGAGTCAGCCGGGCATCCACCTTGTCTCTCTCCTTGCTTAGACAATTCACAGAGTGAGGGCAATATTTGTGCAGGTATTCAGCACTCACACCCACTCTGCAGACCCACTGAGGGGTCTCACGGGGGGGAGCAGCAGGGTGAGTGGTGCTGGGTGCTGTGGTGCAGATCCCCAGTGGGTGCAGGTGTCCCTGGCTGTGGCTTACTGGGTTTATGCTGTGGCCCCAGGGCCCCTAATTTACAGCAAAACCAAGTCGTGGCCCGTGCTCATCTCCAATGCCTGGTGTCACCTCCCACAGCTTCTCCAAACCAGCTCAGGGTGGGTGGATTTAGGACTTGGGCTTTGTAGGAGGTAAGAGATTTCCCCTGCCCTGCCCTCTCCCTTCCTCCTCCTTCCTGTTATACCGGCTTTGCAGGTTTTCTGCCAACAGCCCCAGGTTTTCTGCTGACAGCCCTGAGGGCTCTTGACTCACCCACTGTGGGGGTGGGAGGGGACAGAATGGGGCTGAGATTTGGGTTTCTCCCAAAAGTGGGATGAACCAAATCTGCTGAGTTGTGTTTTGTGGGGGATTCAGGTCAGTGTCAGAGTAAGATGAGCAGCATCTGACAGGCTGAAAGAGTTGGGGCTGTTCAGCCTGGAGAAGAGAAGGCTCCGGGGAGACCTTCTAGTGGCCTCCCAGTACCTGAAGGGGCTCCAGGAAGGCTGGGGAGGGACTTTTTATAAGGGCAGTTAATGACAAAACAAGGGGAAATGGGTTTAAACTGAAAGAGGGGAGGTTTAGATGAGATATTAGGAAGAAGTTCTTCACTGTGAGGGTGGTGAGACAGTGTCCCAGGTTGGCCAGAGAAGCTGTGGCTGCTCCTCCCTGGAAGTGTTCTCGGCCAGGTTGGATGAGGCTTTGAGCAACCTGGTCTAGTGGAAGGTGTCCCTGCTGCTGGCAGGGGGGTTGGAACTGGATGAGCTTTAAGGTCCCTTCCAATCCAAACCATCCTATGATTCTATGATCTTCTCTGCAGGACTTGTGGTGCAAGGGTGGAGAGATGTCTGGTAAAATCTAAGCTTTGGTGGGTCTCTGTGATGTTCTGGCCGTGGCTTGAGTGGGGTGGGGGCTGTGGGGAGCTGCTGTGCTGGCACCCAGCCTGAGCCCCCAACACCGTGTCACCCCGGGGGAGCAGACTGTGTCTCTGATGGCCGTGACTTCTTCAGGTGGCTCAGGCAGGGATCACCGAGCCGGTGCTCACCGTGTGGCTTCTCTTGCAGGCTCACAGGAGATTCACATCAACGAGAAAACTGTCAGCCCTCACCTCAGCCTGTCTGAAGACAGGAAAACCCTGACCTTCAACCCCAAGAAAGCAAAGGTGGACTCGGACTGCCCCGAACAATTTGACCACTGGCCCAATGCTTTGGCTACTGTTGCTTTCCACTCAGGGGTCTGCGCGTGGAAGATCAGCGTGGAGAAGAGCTGTGCCTACAAGCTGGGGGTTTGCTACAGCTCCCTGCCACGGAAGGGGTCCGGCAACGAAACCCGCCTGGGCTTCAACACCAGCTCCTGGGTCTTCTCACGCTACGACAAGGAGTTCAGGTTCCTGCACGCCGGGCAGCCGCAGGCGGTGGAGCTGATCAAGTCTCCAGCCGAGATCGGGGTGCTGGTTGACTTTGCAGGAGGGGAGATGCTCTTCTATGACCCCGATTCCTGCACCATCCTCTTCTCCCACCGGGAGACCTTCACAGAGCCCATCTATCCCGTCTTTGCTGTGGCTCACCAGAGCATCTCGCTTGTCCCATGAGCCAAACCCTGCAATTCTGGGATCCTGTGATTCGTTTCCTGCGACCTTCTCATCCATAAAAATCCTTTTGTAGGGTTTCTGCTAAAAATCAGTGCTGGATAATTGGCCAATTTCCTGCACGCCGGCGTTTTTGTGGATTCCTTGTGCTCATGCTCATCTCCCTTGCTGTGTGTCGGGATCATCCCTAGTGCAGGGTGGTTTCTAGACCCAGCTGCGGTGATAACCTCCTGCAGCAGGCAAGGAAACGCCTGCTCTGCTGAGGGATGCTGAGACCCTGCTTTGGGGGGAGCATTAGAAAAACCATCTCAAGGTGATTCAGATCAGGTTCCTGGGTCCAGCGTTAGGTAACCGTGGAAATAGTGCAAATGGAACTTGAAGCCCAATCTCCCAATGGCTTGTGTGTGTGTGAAATGTCTTGGCATCTCCCATCTCCTCTCTGAGAAGCTGATATTTTTAGATTTACAACAGATTAGTTTTGATGCTGGAGGCCTTAAAACTGTTCTGACATGAACCCAAGCTATTCTATCCTAAAAAATGAAGTCTTAATTGAACTACACTTCAATTACAATACAGCAGAGTGTTTTACCACGTGCATGGAAAGAAGCCTGGGAGGAAGAGGAACAAACCTGAAAATGGATCAGAAACTGGAGCTTTTCAGAGGCACCTACAGTGACTGTCTACATGCTCTTCGGTACCTGTATGGGGGACAGGAGCCCAGAGGGGGCTCCCAGCTCGTGCAGAGTGGTGTTCAAACCAGACCTGCCTTCAGACTAAATCTGTTCTTCACACATTTTACAGCAGCTTTCTATATATAAAAATAAGCTACACCCGCCCTGTGCCTGCTGTGCCAGGGCGAGGGGTTGGGGTAACGCCTGGCTCTGCCGGCTGCTTTTAGGTGAATCATTTAATTCCTCTCCAATCAAGGGTTGGTGGGCTTTAGAAAACAGGAGAAATATTGAGAGATGTGTTTGGAGAAATGGCATGTGGAAAAGGACATCACTTGGAACAGGCTGCCCAGGGCAGTGGTGGAGTCCACATCCTTCGAGGTGTTTGAAAGATGGGTAGATGTGGTGCTTAGGGACATGGTTTAGCGGGCATGGTGGTGTTGGGTTGATGGTTGGACTGGATGATCTTAGAGGTCTTCTCCAACCTTAATGATTCTGTGATTCTGTCACTGGGACGTAGCTGGAAACACACCTGGGAGGAGCTGCCCTGTGCCAGAGTAGGGACAATGTGGGGTGTTATCACCCTTGGGGGGACCCATGTTGGGGCAGGGCCACTGCTGAGGGGCTGTGGAGGAACCTGTGTCAGAACAGAGGAGTGAGAAGCAAAGAACAGCAGAAAGGAACCCAACCAGAGCTGGTCCTCACCAAAGGGAGAGGGGGATTGAGAGTAACATGGTGAAAACATGGGGAGCTGATGTTGGGCAGGGAGGAGGAGAGGTGTTGGACTGAGGCTGAGCCAGGGAGAAGGGCAGGAAAGGTGTTTCCATAACTGTTTGAAATTTGTCATCTTTTATTTCTCAATCCCCAAATCAGTACAATTTGTTAACTGGCACTGTATTAAGTGAAATATATTAAGACCTGCAGCTGCCTCCTGGCCACCACTGTCAGGAGGAGGGGGATGCTGGTGAGGTGGCAAACCTGGGGTGCACCGAGGTGTCCAGGGTTCCTGGGTGCTCTGTGTGGTCAGACCCTCCCCAGGATGGGACCAACCTCAGCTCTGCTGATGCTCGAGCCTCCCCCAGGGTGAGGGAGAAGAAGAAACCTCCGTGTCTGCCTCCATCCCTCCTGCTGGAATGAGCCTCCTGTGAGGCAGCCTGACCCTGTCCCCAGCTCCATGAGGGGAAGCCACCACCGCTGACCCTTTTCCATGGAGATTTTCAGAGCTATGAAAGAGCAGCAGCAACGCTGAGCATCAGATGTTATTTTATTGCACGAACAGCCCTCCAGCTCCCTGTGCTCTGAACCCCTCGCTGCTTCTCCTTGCCTCGCTGGCAAGAAATCCCACACCAGGACCTGGTTCACCGCTCCGCAGCTGCGCTGGTCCCCCTCCAAAACGCAGCTACCCCTTCTCAATAAGACCCAGGAGATGGCTGAGCGTGGGCAGGACGTGCTCGGGGGGCACCTCTGGCTCCTGGCTCTGCCCAGCAGCCCGGAGCAGGAAGCTGCGCATGCCCACGGCTCGTGCTGCGCTGTAGTCCCGGGTGTAATCGTCCCCGACGTGAGCTGCCTGCTCGGGTGGGACCCCGGCGAGGTGCAGGGCTTTCTCAAAGATCCTCCTGTCCGGCTTGGCGAAGCCCACGTCCTCGGAGGTGAGGACAAAGTCAAAGTGGTGCCGCAGGTTGCACTGGCAGAGGATGTTTTCCAGCCGTGGATCGAAGTTGGAGATGACCCCCATGGAGAAACCGCGCTGGCAGCACCGGCTCAGGGTCTCGCTGGCTCCGGGCAGCAGCTCCCAGTTCTGGGCGCTGCAGAAATCACTGTAGAGCTTCTCTGCCATCAGCGTCCGCATTCCATCTTCCTGCAGCCCCGAGAGCCGGAACGTCTCCTTCACCACATCCACCCACCACTGCCGGGAGCTCAGCCCCG